GGGTCGCACTGTCACCCAGGCTGCAGTGCAATGGTGTTACACGGCCCACTGCAGCCTCAAATTCCTGTGCTCGAGGGATCCTCCTACCTTAGCCTCCCAGGTAGCTGGGACTACAGGCACACACCACCATGCTTGGCTAAATTTTATTTATTTATTTATTTATTTATTTATTTATTTATTTATTTAGAGACAGAATCTCGCTCTGTTGCCCAGGCTAGGGTGCAGTGGTGCAATCTTGGCTCACTGCAACCTCCACCTCCTGGGTTCCAGGTATTCTCCTGCCTCAGCCTCCCGAGATAGGTGCCTGTCATCATGCCTGGCTAATTTTTGTATTTTTAGTAGAGATGGGGTTTTACCATGTTAGCCAGGCTGGTCTTGAACTCCTGACCTCAAGTGATCCACCCGCCTCGGCCTCCCAAACTGCTGGGATTACAGGCATGAGCCACCATGCCCGGCCTAATTTATTATTATTATTTGTACAGATAGGGCATCCCTATGGTGCCTAAGCTAGTTTCCAACTACTGGGCTCAAGCCATCCTTCTGCCTCGGCCTCCCTAGTGCTGGGATTACAGGTGTGAGCCATTGAACTTCTAGAAATTTATTCTTCTGCCATACTGGCTCATGTGCTACAAACACCATATTTTGTGGCAGAATGGTTTGTAATTACAAAAGACAGGAAACCATTTCAATATTTATCAATAAGGGACCCATCTGATATAATGAACCACCAAGAAGTCTCTAAAAAAGAATGTGATCAGGTGTGGTGGCTCACACCTGTAATCTCAGCACTTTGGGAGGCCAAGACAGGAGGATCACTTGAGCCCAGGAGTTCGAGATCAGCTTGAGCAACATAGTGAGACCCTGTATCTACAATAAATAAATAAATAAATAAATATTAGCCATGGGTAGTGGGGTGTGCCTGTAGTCCCAGCAACTCAGGAGGGTGAGGCAGGTTGCAGTGAGGAGTGATTGAATCACTGCACTCCAGTCTGGGCAACAGAGCAAGACCCTGTTTCAAAAAACAAAAAGTCAATCATGGTAATTCAAATAGAAAAGCAATGAGTAAATAAAGAAGGAAGACAAGGGCATGCTACTCAGGCCCAGCCCCTTACCTTGATAGTCATCTGGGGAATCCCCAAGGGAAGAAATTGAGTAAGCTGGGGGTGGGAGGAGTGGGGGGCATTGCCCAGGTGTGAGGCAGGGCAGGTAGGGACTGCAGGTCTTTGGGTGCTGGGCAGGCAGTCTCCAGACACAGGCAAGCTGTGGTGGGGGATCAGGTGAGAAGAGGCCGCCCAGGAGTTTCACAAGTCTGCCTGTGGCAGGTCTGTACTGAACATGCCCTTTCCTTCCTTTCCACAAAGACTACAGGGGCACCTCTTAGCCCTGCTGATTTCTAAACCCTGGGCCCCAAGGCGTTCAGGGGCGGTAGAATGGCCCTGGGGTAGAGGATGGCTGAAGGGCTTCGATCTCAACGGTGAGCGGGGCTCCTGAGATCTGTCTTCTCTTCTTCTGCACCCACAGCCAGGACATTCCTGCCATGCAGGGCCCCCGGGACTCTTCCAGTCCGGGGGTATGGGGAGAGGAGCAGCCGGCGGGTGCCCAGAAGCCTTGCACCCCAGCAGGAGGGCTGGAATCAGGGTGAATACTTGAGGCCACAGATCACAGGGCCCAGCAGAGGAGATTCTTAAGTGGCCTTAAGACACAGCGTCTCCAGGGGCTCTGCCCTGCAAACTGCACAGGCCGCTCCCTTCTTTGTAGAAAGAAGGGTTGGGTCTCCCACCTCCAGCTCTCCGGCTGAGGAGCAGTGGATACAGGTTCTGAGGATCCTGAGGGCAAGTCTATGCAACACCAAAGAGAAAGCTTTCCGCCTCCCTGGATTTTCTGGAATAATTCTGGCAAACGCAGGATAGAGTTGTTTGGTTGTCAGAAATTACCCAGAAAGGCTGGCGTGGTGACTCACGCCTGTACTCCCAGCACTTTGGGAGGCCGAGGTGGGCTGATCACCTGAGGTCAGGAGTTGGAGACTAGACTGGCCAACATGGCCAAACCCTGTCTCTACTAAAAATACAAAAATTAGCTGGGTGTGGTGGTGTGTGCCTGTAATCCCAGCTACTCGGGAGGCTGAGGCAGGAGAACCGCTTGAGCCCGGGAGGCGGAGGTTGCAGTGAGCCGAGAACGCGCCACTTCACTCCAGCCTAAGCCACAGGGCGAGACTCCACGGAAGGAAGGAAGGAAGGAGAGAGGGAAGGAAGGAGGGAAGGAGGGAGGGAGGAACACAGATGCCCGGGAAGAGTGCAACCAGGTTACAGGGCAGGGTCGGAGGGAGGGCATCTGGCAGCTTCTCTTTGCCCTCAGAAAAGCACTAAGGATTTATATCTGAATGCTCCACACACAAAGCCAAGGCCCCTAGAGCTGAGGAAATGGAGTGCACAGAGACCCAGAAGCTTGGCCCAGATCACTTCACTGGTGGCCACAATGTCAGCTGGTCCTGACCCCCAGCCTTCCCCTAAAGCCAGTATCCATCCGTGAAAGCAGGTACTAGCATGCCCGCTCCGGATAACCCAAAACCCCAGGCCTGCCAGTGCCCAGCCACTGTCAGGGTACCTTGATGAGACGGGCCACCTGCCCTGGCCTCTCCCCTGCAGCCACACAGGGGGTGCCCCACACACCTGAGAGGGGAGGCCCAGAAACTTCCAGGGGGAGCCTGTTCCCTGCCTACCCTGGTGACTCAGGAGCCCCTGGGCACCTCACCCCATCCTTTGTCTCTCTACTTCCTCCTCCACCAAGGGACAATGAAATCGACATGCCCTGCAGCAAAGTCACCAGGAAAATGTGACTCCACAGCAATTAAGTGATTTTCTTTTCACAAAAAACAAAGGTCCAGTGAGGCTCACTAGGAGGCTCCCCCTGGGGACTCTGGCCACAGACACACCATGCTTTAAATTCCAACCTGGCTTCACAGAAACTGGAGGTTTAAATCAGGAGCCCATCTTTAGCTCTTCAGAAGGACTCCCCTCCGCATACAGTTTGTAGAACCACCCAGCAAAGTTACTCTTGTCACTAAGAACAGAATTCTCGTTGGCCAAGCTGGCATCATAGAGTGATTTACCCACATGCGGCCCAGATAGTAATGCTCTACCCTCTTCAAAAAGCCAATTTCAGCTGGGTGCGGTGGCTCACGCCTGTAATCCCAGCACTTTGGGAGGCCGAGGCGGGTGGATCACCTGAGGTTGGGAGTTCGAGACCATCCTGGCCAACGTGGTGAAACTCCATCTCTACTAAAAATACAAAAATTAGCCGGGCCTGGTGGCGCAATACTATAATCCCAGCTACTTGGGAGGCTGAGGCAGTAGAATCACTTGAACCCGGGAGGCAGAGTTTGCAGTGAGCCGACATAGCGCCACTGCACTCCAGCCTGGGCAACAGAGTGAGATTTGGTCTCAAAAAATGAAAAAGAAAGTTTTCCCATTGGAAGGAACAGGCAAGGAGGACCCAAACTCAGCTCCCAGAGGTGTCGCTGAAATCCCCTGGGGCCTACAGTCTTTTAGGAATCACTGGGCAATCCCCCAAGCATGTGGGATAGAAAGAAACATCACACATTGAAGTTCTGGAGACTATGCCAAAAAGTCAATCCACCAAGCTGCTCAGTCACTGAGAACAATTGCAGGTCCCGTGCTGGTGGAGCAGAGTTCCAGAACACACAATGTGAAGGGCTTCCCCTGGAGTTGTGCAAGCTGCAGCCCAGCCCAGAGGATGCAGGAGCCAAGGCCAGGAACAGCCCAGTCACACAAATAGGAGTACAATGGCTAGAGCTCTTGAAAATATGTTTACTCTCACTGGAAATCCAAGAAATGCACATTAAAACAATCACACATCATCCTGCCGGGCACTTAACAGATGGGGTATGATAAAAGGGCACTTCTTGTAACTTTATTGGAAAACAAGTTAGTAGTATGTACAAACAGCTTTCAATATGCCTATGTCCATTATACCAGTAATTCCACTTTTGGGCATGCAACTTTTTTTTTTTTTTTGAGATGGAGTCTCGCTCTGTCGCTCAGGCTAGAGTGCAGAGGTGTGATCTCGGCTCACTGCAGCCTCTGCCTCCTGGATTTAAGTGATTCTCCTGCCTCAGCCTCCCAAGTAGCTTCGATTACAGGTGCCTACCACCATGCCCGGCTAATTTTTTGTATTTTTAGCACAGATGAGGTTTCACCATGTTGGCCAGGATGGTCTTGAACTCCTAACCTCAACTGATCCGCCCGCCTCAGCCTCCTAAACTGCTGGGATTACAGGTATGAGCCACTGTGCCCAGCCATTGGTAAGGTTTTATTTAAACATCTTCATGCAACTTTAAAATAATCAAAAATTTACACAAAGAGTTATGCAAGGATATTAATTACAAAATTAATACCCCAAAAAGGCAACGATAACTTATACAGTGGGCTTTAATAGTGGGCTGTGGAATGCAGAGAATTAAAACGGGGTCACCTAGAGGGACTGGGTTGGCTGGCAGTCTGGAGAAGTCTTCTGGGTGAGCAATCTTCTGGGATTGGGTCAATAAGAAGAAGCCTGCCCTGCTAAGCTGGGGTGGTGGGTGGGAGGTCTTTCAGGCATAGGACCAAGGCAGGATGGAGCCAGAGTGGCTGGAAAGGAGTACCCTGGCACCTGACCTGCTAGGGGTCTGGAAGCAAGGGTCGCAAGTAAGAATTTTACATTGAGGGCACAGAAAAGTCACGGAGGGTTTCATGCAGGAGAGCCATGTGATACAGTGCCTTTATTTATTTATTTATTTTTGAGACGGAGCTTTGCTCTTATTGCCCAGGCTAGAGTGCCATGGCGCGATCTCAGCTCACTGCAACTCTCCCAGGTTCAAGCGATTCTCCTGCCTCAGCCTCCCGAGTAGCTGGGATTACAGGCAAGTGCCATCACACCCGGCTAATTTTTTCTATTTTTAGTAGAGATGGGGTTTCTCCATGGTAGTCAGGCTGGTCTCCAACTTCCAACCTCAGGTGATCTGTGATACGGTACTTTTAAAAAGATCACTCTGGTTGCTGTGGGGTGAATGAATGAAAGGGAAACCGGGAGACAACTGAGTCTGTTGCAAAAGCAGAGGAACGCAATGAGGTGGCTTCGATGGACATGCTGAGAAGTGGGTGGATACCGGACAGATTTTGGAGGTGGAGCCCACAGGACTCGGTCCTTACTGGCATCTCCTGTGGAGGGCTGGACAGGGAGGTGGTGCCCAGACTGTCTGCTTGAGCACCAGGAGCTTAAGTTTCTGGAGCCTTTGACTGAGATGGGAATGAACCCTAGGCAGAAGGCTGCACAAATGGAAGCTATCTGTTGAGAATTATACCAACTTTGGACATGAAGCTAATGGAAAAAGAACATCCAAAAAGGACCATGGAAGGTTGCCCCTGAAGCTCGTGAAAATAAGGAACGTCCAAATGGCTGCCATTTACCGGGGCTGTGATGAGCACCAACACGGTGTTAAGTGAAAAAAGCCTTGCTGAGATCTGGGGAACAATGGAGCCATGGGTCCCTGAAGGACTGGGGCAGGGTCCAAGATGGAAATGCCTTACATTAAATTTAACCTCCAAAGAACGATTTCGGAATTTCACAACATTGCCTCGAGCTGACCCTTACTCCCACATGTTGTACCTAAAGTGGCCAGCCAACATTCCTTCCTCCCCTGCTGGCTGGACTTCTGGTTTGATAAGAGCTGCTGGGAGCTGGGGGAAGCCTGGCAGATACTGGAGACTATCCCAGCTGGGCCTAAACTGAAAATCAAGGCGGGGGAGGCAAAGGAGAGCTCCTGCCACCTGTGAGGGGCCTACGACAGAGCAAGGGCAGACTAGGGAGTCAGGATGACCAGGCGAAGGCCCAACACTAGGCAGCTACATGATCTAACACAAATGACTTAACTCTTCAAACAACAATATTCTCATTTATCAGTCAATGGCAGTTACCAAAATAGAGACGTGACAAACCATCAGGCAGCATGGAAGTATATTCAAGACAATATACTGCACACAGACGCGCTAGAGAGGAACAAAGGGGCAGCCTTCGAGGAGTTGTAACTGTCATAGATGGCAAGGCGTGGGGGCCTATGCCTGTAATCTCGGCATTTTGGGAGGCCAAGGCAGGATCACTTGAGGTCAGGAGTTCGAGACCAGCCTGGCCAATGTGGCAAAACCCTACCACTACTAAAAATACAAAAAATAGCTGGGCCTGGTGGCGGGTGCCTGTAGTCCCAGCTACTCAGGAGGCTGAGGCAGGAGAATCGCTTGAACCCGGAAGGCAAAGGTTGCAGTGAGCCGAGAGAGATTGCGCCACTTCACTCCAGCCTGGGCGACAGAGTGAGACTGTGTCTCCAAAAACAAACAAAGAAACTGTCGTAGATCTTTCTGCATCCCGTAAGGGCAGCAAAGCGCCTAAAGTATAAAAACATGAAATAGCAAATATGACATTCACTGATAGTGTTGCTCCAATAGACATTTATCAGTACTGTGCAATGAAAACAAGAGAACACACCCATTTCAGATACCCATGAAACACTTAAAAAAATAGGCAATAGATTAGGTCACAAAGAAAATTGCAAATTCCCAAAGGTCAAAATAGCACCTAATTCATTTTCTTTCTTTTCTTTTTCTTTCTTTTTTTTTTTTTTTTTTTTTTTTTTTGAGACAGAGTCTCACTTGTCCAGGCTGGAGTACAGTGGCACAATCTCTGCTCACTACACCTCCCAGGTTCAAGTGATGCTCCAGCCTCAGCCTCCCTAGTAACTGGGATTACAGGCACCCACCACCACACCTGGCTAATTTTTTTGTTTTGTTTTGTTTTGTTGGTAATTTTAGTAGAGACGGGGTTTTGCCCTGTTGGCCAGGCTGGTCTTGAACTCCTGGCCTCAAGTGATCCTCCCACCTCGGACTCCCAAAGTGCTGGGATTACAGGCATGAGCCACCACGGCTGGCCAACCTAATTCATTTTCTAACAAGGCAACAGAATTAGAAATGAAAAACAAAAGCAAATAAAAGAATTTAAAATTTGCAGAATTGACTGAGGATGGTGGTTCATGCCTGTAAACCCAGCACTTTGGGAGGCCAAGGTGGGAGGATTCCTTGAGCCCAGTAGTTCAAGACTAGTCTGGGCAACATACTGAAACCCTCATCTCTACAAAAAATATAAAATATTAGTTGTACATGGTGGTGTTCACCTGTAATCCCAGCTACTCAGGAGGTTGAGGCAGGAGGGTAGCTTGAGCCCAGGAGTTCGAGCTTGTCAAAAGAAAAAATGATAATAAAAAATAAAAATTAAAAAAGCACAAAATCTAGGAAAAAAATAATGAAAACATGACATACCAAAATTTAAATTATAAAACACTCAGAGAAAACGTCATTGCTGTTAGCATTACAGAACTAAACAAAAAATAAATAAATGAACTAAGCATGTAACTAAGCATGTTTTACAGAAAAGGGCAAGAAAATAAACCCAAATAAAGTAAGAGGAGGGAAAATAAGATATAGAAGTTAAACTATCAGAAATCAGAAAAATTATAAAATTGATCAATGTATTAAAAAGTTGTTTCTCTTAAAAGCAAAATAGGTAAACTACTGGGTAGCCTAATCAAAGAAAATGCAAACACTAAAAAATGGGGGATGCATAAATACAATATATATAGGTAGACTCTATTCAAATAACTTGAAAGAGCTCATGAAACTAATGATTTTCTAGCAAAATGCAATTTGCCAATTTACTCCTCCTCCAAAGAGAAAACCAACAGGGCAATAGTACTGAAAAATTTTGTGAATATTATTAAAGAACTACTCCTAAAAACGTACCTGGTCCAAACATGTGATAACGACATATTTTAAACCTTCCAGAAACAGGCATAGTGGCACACTCCTGTAGTCTCAGCTACTTGGGAGGCTGAGGCAGGAGGATGGCTTGAGCCCAGGAGTTCAAGGCTGCAGTGAGCTGTGATCATGCCACTGACTCCAGCATGGGTGACAGAGCAAGATCCTTTCTCAAAAAAAAAAAGAGAAAAAAACCCAAAACCAAACCAAAAAAGACCAGGAGATCTGTCCAAATTTGATGATCCTTCTCTAGAGCTCTAGCCCAAAGCTGTGCAATAGGAATATAATTCAAGCCACATGGGTAATTAAAAAATGTCTAGGGCTGGGCGCAGCAGTTCACACCTGTAATCCCAGCACTTGGGGAGGCCGAGGGGGGCAGATCACATGAGGACAGGGGTTCAAGACCAGCCTGGCCAACATGGTGAAACCTCATCTCTACTAAAAATACAAAAATTAGCTGGGCCTGGTGGCGCACACCTGTCATCCCAGCTACTTGGGAGGCTGAGGCAGGAGATTCGTTTGAACCCAGGAGGTGAAGGTAGCAGTCAGCCGAGATCATGCCACTGCACTCCAGCCTGAGTGACAGACCGAGACTCCGTCTCAAAAAAAGAAAAAAAAAGGTCTACTCACCACATTTACAAAAGTAAAAACAGGTTAAATTAACTTTAATAAGAGATTTTATTTAAGTCAAAATACATATTTTTTCTTTTTTTTAAACAGGGTCTCACTCTGTTGCCCAGGCTGGAGTGCAATGGCTCGATCACGGCTCACTGCAGCCTTAACCACTTGGGCTCAGGGTATCCTCCCACCACAGCCTCCTGAGTAGTGGGGAGTACAGTCGCACCCCAGCACACCTGGCTAATTTTTTTTATTATTTGTAGAGACGAGGTCTTGCTATTTTACCCAGGCTCAGTAAGCCATCTTTAAATGTCTAGATTTATAAATACTATTAAGTGTTTTCGTAAGTAACAATGATTAATAGTACAATCTGGGAGGAGGGTGGAATGGAAGAGAAAAAGGCCATTTTCTGGTTAGTTCTGCCGATGATACGAGTTGGAAGCATCTGGAAGCACTGTGGAAAGCTCAGGGCACAGAGTCCCCCAGGGCAGACAGGCCCAGACAGGCAGACCAATAATGGCAAGTTGATGGATCTGGAGTGTATTCGCTCCTCTGCCACCCCCGCCCACCTTTGTATTTCTAGGAGCTTCTCTCTGGGCCTGTTTTCTCATTTGGAACTCTACAGGTTAGATAAGATCTCTAACGGGCTGCCCAGCTCTTACAACCCAGGATGCTTCCCTCTATTCACACCGTCAGTCCCCAGGGCCTCCGTGTTACAAGTGCTAGGGATCTAATCGTAAGCAGAAGACAGGGAAGAAAAATATGACCAAATAATCCCACAAGAGGACGTCAAAATCCACTGTGGCAAGTGCCATGAAGGAGGGGAGCACCAGGTGTGTTAGGACAGGGTAATTCTGTGGGCATGATGACAGAGGGTGTGGGAAGAGGTGGGGAAGAGAGTCTCTGGGAGTTGGGGAGGAGGAAGAGGGCTCAGCAGGGGCAGATGGGAGGAAGGGGGGTGGAAAAGGCTTGGAACAGCCGCCATGGAAAGTGGGAGTCCAGCAGACACACACAGTAGGGCTGCCCAGCAGCTTAGAGCAACCCACTATGCACGCAGCATACAGAGACATGCAACCACGGTCTATTCACTGAATCCCGCGAAATGCCACATAGGTCATTTCAATCTGACATTCTTCCATCAGCAGAGAAGAAAAGACTAGATGCTTTTCACAATTCTAGTTTACTTCTCTTTAGAATGCCCTTACAAGAACTGACTCACACGTATCACTAAGCAGACATCCACACTCAGCTATGCAATCTTTGATCAGCCAACCCTCGGTCAGCTCCATGGAACCACGTGGGTAAAGAAAAAGCCAGCAGCTATTCCATAGACAGGGGAAGCACTCGGGGGCAAGCGATGGTCACCAAGCACCACAGCACCCAGGAGGTCCCGCTGACCACCGCAGCGCCTGGGAAATGCACTCTGTCAATCAACACCGCAAAACAGGCTCAGATACTGTGAAGCACTCAAACATTTTTTAAAACAGGAAGACAGGTTTTTTTTTTTTTTTTTTTTTAAACGATAATAGC